GTAAGGGAGGGACAGACAGGGTGGCGGAGCGCAGCGCATTAGGACGCGCGCGTCTTGGCGCTTGCTCCTGCGGCGAAAGAGGCCTTGGGCGGGTGCGCGCCAACCCCCCCTCCCCACCCGACTTAGCCAAGCGCTGCCGGCGAACTCCCGCGCAGGACCGCGCGGCCACTGAGACGCAATGAAGCCTTTGGAGAGGATCCCGCGGTTCCTCTCTGTCCTCCCCTTTTTCTCCTTGGGGAGTGCACCTCATCGAACGAAGGGCAGTAACCCCCACTGAAGAAAAGCCGGCCGCTTGCCAACTTAAGAAGGACGGGGGGGAGGGGTGCCCACTTTTTGCTTAGACGGTCCAGCGGTTGGCGCGTCTCTCTGCCTGGACTGAGCCTACTAGGGCAAAAGCGCGCGCGGCTTCTCCACGTGGCTCCGGATCCCCGGAGCTGCCTTCCGTGCGTCCCCGGCTCACTCGGCCCTAAGAGCCCTTGTACCGCCTCTGTTCGTGATCAGATCTTCCAGGGAGAACCGGACACCCACGAGCAAGGGGGGCGAGAGGGAGGGGGCAACGTTTCCGCGTTAATAAGGCTGCTTCCGCGGGTCTGCATACTGGCCAGACCTATCCTCCGGGACAGCCAGCAAGGGCACCGTCGTCCGGAAGTTCTGAAGGGCATCCTCTTGCCTTTTCCTGGAAAAAAAAAGTCTAGGGAAGATCCTGCAGGATGCTTCGTTCTCTTGAATCCATGTTTCCCAGAAGAGTATACAGTAACCCCTTCTTCAGTCAGTTCAGCTCAGTTCTCTCTCTCTCTCTCTTTGCTGGCATAAACAGAACTCAAACCTCCAGGTCAGGTTTAATGATGCAACTCTGAGCCAGAGGCTAGAAGGGAAATGGTCGCAGTGGAAACCTTAAAAAGCTGGGGGAGGTCAACTTTCACAGTTTCTTAGGGCTGCCCACAGGATCTTGCTCACCTAAAGCCTTGATGCAATGTGTTTGTTCTGTTAAGATACCCATCCCTGCTTCAAAGCATACATCTAGCTGCTATTCTGTGAAACGTCTTCCCATAAATACGCTTCAGTGCCTTGTCCTAAGCTCTGTATGCAATGTGTTGAAAGGCAGGGCAGAACCCAGCTTAAAAGAAAGAAGAACATAAACCCCAGCAATTTGCAATTTTAAATCATCAAAGCCTGGTTGGATTACTTTGTTAGGAGACGCCCAGGCTGACTTAGACCCCTTATGGTGGGCTTTCGTTCCGTGGTGGAGTGGCCTTTCCGGATGGGAAATTCCATGGAGGCCAAGAGGAGGGTTGGTGGGAATGGATCACTTGGCCCCGCTTCTCTCGGCGCACCTCGAAGGAGCCCACATTGGTTATTTTTGATAGAGTAGCCTGCCAAGAGATTAGGAGCCTCTGTTCCCATGCTGAGCAAACAGGACACAATCCTGCTTTGCAGAGGACTAAGAAAAAGGACCTAAGGAACTCTTATTAGCCTGAAACAAGAGCCCATCCTAACGCATGTTACTGTTCAGTGTAACAATAGCGGTTCCTACTCTGTATCTTACATCTTCTATGGATAGAGAGAGAGATTCAAGCAGCTTTTTCCATGTGTGATGGGGCGTTGTTTTTCTTCTTTCTCTCCCCATTCTGTGGAGTCCTTGGGGTTCTCCAAGCTTGGTTCTTTTCTTGCAAACATTTCATTAGCCGGCTAGGTCAC